TCATCTCTGATGTTTGCTGGAGGCCATGGCTAGCAACACAGCAGTGCTGGCCCTATGGCACTGCTGAGAAAGGGGCCCTTTCTCAACCTCTACCACTACCACAGAACATGACTGAGACTACAGACTTCCATCTTTTTAGTAGTTTTGGGGTAACTGGCTGTGTCATTATGGAGTCCTGGAGGAGTACTCATCCAGCTGCCTTTGCAGCAGTTGAATGGTTATCCAAGGATGGGCTGTTGTTGGGGGCCAGCCCAGTGCCTGTGAGGCGATTGTTGCAGCCAGGATAGTTGTGCAGTTTCTTTGGTAAGTGGAGCAAAGGAAACTGTGCTCCACATGGCCATCGTGGTGCCAGAGCCTCTAGTGAGCCTTGGCAGGAGGAATAAGGATAGGCTTCAACCCCATGGCTTCCCAGAGTTACAAGGCAAGACTGTGGGCCTGTGGGATGGGAGAAACAGACTGTTTCTCAGAGGGGCCTAACCTAATGTGGAAGGGCAATGGAGAGGCTTTGGTTGTCTGGTTTGCTGATTTCTGAGGTTCACTGAGGTTTCTTCTGGGGTTTCACAAAAGGAGAGTGTTGGAACCCTAGGCACAGAGAATTTCATGCTCTCTGTGCTGACAGGCACAGACCCACAAGAGAACACTGTGTTTGAGACCATGGAAAAGGCTTCTGAAATTGATAGAACTGAAACTGTGAGTGTGTAGTTTAAACAGAAGTGTGTTACATCAATTAGTGGGAAATTTAGACTTTAAGGTTTTAGAATATAGTGATATATATGCAACAAGGTGGAGGGTTTAGGACATTAACCTGCCTTGTTCTTTCACCTTCTTCTTCATGGATTTTAGTAATATTGTGTGATTGGATATGAAAGTCCACAGTGCGGAACACAAGTGTTTGGCTATTGGGTCATAAGTAAAAATAAATTGGCATTTTATAATTGGGTAGTTGACACTTAAAAGGCCTTGGGAAGAGATACCTGGGGCTCTATTTTCTAGACTGTTGGCTTAGTGTGCAGACAAACTCGCTGTCTGTGAGAATGTAATAGATAAGAAAAAATAAACAACTAAGTCCGAACATGAAAACTGTCTCTCTTCTGCTTATTAATCCTGACCTTGAGGAAAAAGAGCCCATAGACTTTCCATAAGTGAGATCTCCAAGATCCATGTCTGCTGCTGAAGCTTTTCCTGAGCTGCCTGCTGGCTTGCATGATCCAAGAGTTACTGGCTTGGAAAGGGATACAAGTAATTCTGAAGGCTGTGGATGAGCATGGGTCTCACTGACTGCTTTTTCCCCTGTCTCTTTCCTGCTCCAACAAGGTCATTTGCCATGCTGTTAGTTGCAGTGAAACTGTGCGAGTTGCTCAACTGGTGGCCCGACAGAGGAGTTCCAAGAAGAAAACAGTCCGGCAGGTGAACTGTCAGATGAGGCTGAAGAACACATCTCCAGTCAGTTTATCAGGTAAGCCATAGGCAGCTCTAGAGAGCCTGCCTTTATGAAAGTACTGTGCAGCTGCTGCAGCAAAAATCTTGGCTGTGAGAGTGTGTCACCTATGGCCATGAGTTCCATGGTCCAAGTGGAGAGTTCTTGGGAAGATGAGAGTTCTTGACAAGGGTGCTTATATCTGAAAGCCATGATCAGAGGGAAAGCCTTTTTCAGGAGTGTATATGAGATGTGAATGATCTTGAAAAACAAAGTCATTGGAAGATGCTTGGCTTCACTTTCATGTGCTCCTGCTTCTGTGAGAAACATGGTTGAGATGCAGGCAAAAAAAATGTGGCAATGAGCCTGCTTGTTCTTTATGGCTGGCCTTTGCCTGTTGTGGAGTGAGAGGATTGAACTATTTTCTCACAGTGAGGAGTCCCTGCAGCATCATCTGTGGCTACTTCAGCAGCTCCTGTTGCTGATGCCAGTGCCACAGTGCCACAAAAGTTCTGATGCCCATTTTCAGCTCTTTTACCTCTTACCTTTTGCATAAGCTGCTATAGCAGTGTTTCCCTAAAGTGTGTGTCAGGTTTTCCTCACTGCTGTGCTGTTGTGTGACTGTCTGTGGAATTGGGCCTGGGATTAAGCCCAGGCAAGACACATTTGCTTGCTAGTTGGCAGCTTGGAGCAACAGTGGGTCTCACAGTTCGTGTGTATTGTGTGTTGTGTGTAATGAAGTGTTTGCTGCTTCTTGCTTTTTTACAAGGGTGCCAGTTGGATAGCTGAGCTAATGGCTCATATCCCAGTTGAATGACAGGGATTATAAAGGCAGGTTGGTTCACTGTTCTTGCACATCAATCCCCTTGGAAGTGTTTGAAACCTTCAAAATTGATGCAGCACGTAAATAGTAAAGTGACCAAGAGTTTGTTTATCCCAATGTGGCCTGAATGCTAACATGGTGTGTCCCTCTGTGCATGTAACTTGGCCACATCTGCTGTGGTGGGAGTTCAGGTGTCCACAAGCCAGAGTAGAGAAGAAACCCTTTGGATGGCAGTACAGAAGGTGCCAGGGAGATGCAAGTAGACTGGGTGGAGGAGAATGCTACTCATGGCTGTACCTGCAAACTCTTTAGGAAAGCCCAAAGGAACTTTGCGTCAACCTCGGTCTTTGAGCATGCCAGAAGAAGGCAGTAAGAGGCCTGTTCCTCGCCTGCCCCGAGGCAGAGAAGTGGCATGTGGAGGTGTGAAACCTGTTGTGGAGAGTGCCCGATCTGCCTTACCTTCAGCTGCTGGGAGTGGACCACCTAAAGAAATCCCCATGCAGAGGCATGTCACTGTGGTAAACAGGTCAGTGTGTGTATGTGTGTGTGCACGTGTGCACAAGTGAGGGGAAATTAAGCGTGATGGACCCGTGGATGCCACCATGTAAGTAATGCCTTTTGGGGTCCAGTGGGAATCCAGGCTTCTGCCCTTGCAGCGGGTGAAGTCAGAACATAGGATGGAACCCCAGGAAGGAGACGAGATGATGTTTTGCCTTTTTGGATGCTGCCATAGCTGGTTTCTGCTCTTGGCCTGTTCCCATGTTTTCTGGGGAGAAATGTGGCCAAAGGTGTCACAGCAAGGGAGTGTGGGGCTGTTGCCCTGGCCCAGGAGGGAGCGGTTGTGGCCAGACAACCGTGGTTGTGTGACAGAAAGCAGGAGGAGCAGATTTGTGTGCAGGGACAGGTGATGTGTGTTGAGGGTGATGGTTGTCTTCAGGCAGCTGCTCTTTCTCTCTTGCATGACTTCTGTGTTGCAGCGTCAGTGTTTGGGTCCTTTCTCAGCGTTCTTGGAGCCAGGAGCCACCTGACCATGTTTGGGTGAACTGAGATGAGGGCTGGAGCTGCAGTTCTGCTGGGTTAGCGGTACATGCTGCTTTTCAGCCCCATTTGAGCCTCTCTAATCTGGGTGGCTTAGTCAGCTGCTGCCCCATCATTTCTTTCTGTGTTGTTTTCGGCTGCCCTGGGCTGTCAGCTGACAGTGGTGAGAAAGTGTTTGCTGTTGCTCATTGTGGCTGTGCTAAGTCGGCTGGAGCTGTGATTGTGGCAGTAATCCTCTGCAGGGGGAGGGCTCCAGCCCGGGCTGGGTTGGAAGTCAGCCTGGTGTTGAATGGCAATGGCAGCGGTGTGCCACTTGCACGGCAGCGTAGCTGTGAAGTAGTCCAGAGGAGCGCAACAGCTTAAACCTGCTGTGGTGCCTGCTCTTTCTGGAAGATCCACAGAAAACAGGCACATCCTGCACCAGTCACCTGCATGAATCCATGTGCTATCAGGGGTCTGTTGTGCAGAGGAGAGAGGGACCAAGCCATCCTGCTGTGACTCAGAAAAGTAGGAACAGCTGTGTTTGGGCCTTCCCTTTTCTGTGTGTGCAGGTGAGTTGCACTTCCCTGAAAGGCAGAGGCACTTTGCCTTAGGCAAAACAAAAAAGAGCACTTAGAGTTTTCTCCAAGTTAGTTACTGTAAGGAAAATACAGGAAGTATTTTATAGCATTTAAAGATTTGTAATGCATAAAATAAAATTAGTTAGATGTCACTCTTCTTCTGGCTATTCCTAATGTAGTCTGCTACATCTTGTGTTATCTTTGTTCATCTCTGGCTGTCTCTCCTGAGCTCCTTCTAGGTAAGTATTCTGCTGTTCTTTCTGTGGCAGTTTCTGCCCTGCACTGTAGGAGAAGCTGCAAGCAAAGTCTGCTTTGGCTCATGTATTTTTAGAAGAGGAGACATCTTGTGCTTTTGCAGTGTCCAAATGCTATCCTTAGCTTGGATACATAGTGAAGGGAAAGTTAGGGGAGGTGAGATTCATAGTCTGTTTGAATACGAGGTTGTATAGTGGCCACGTGACTGGATTAATTTGTTTCAACTTGGCCAGTTTGAAGCAGGACTGGCAAGATCCAAGTGTTCTTGCTGCTGGGGACATTCTGTACCTCCTGAACTGTTGTAGCTGCTTGTACTTTGGGAATTGTAGGAGGGAAAGCTTCTCGGAGGCAGGAGGTCCTGACTTCAAAAAACAGTGTGCAAATGAGTGGAATTATGAACAGCATCCCCAGAAATCCTGGGCTGCCAGCAGCCTCATAGTTATCTGGCACAGACTTGAGGGCACTGTTCCAGCAGAGGTGTCAACACTTGCCTGTGAGAATGGCTGAGCCTTCACAGCGCAGGTTGACTGAGACAAGTCCTGAAGGTGACAGACTCTGCCCCACTTCCCAGTTTGGAGTGAGCTGTTACCTTTGTGCAGTTTTTGACGTTCTGTTACCCACCCTGCCCCTCCATGTACCCACATCGTAGGAAAGGACATCCATGCTCTCGTGGTTGCACATAGAGATCTCTCTTTTCTCCTTTTCTGTTGAATATCTGTCCTGCTGTGGCAGATGTGTGTTCCTTGCCTCAGCATAATGTCCTGTCAGTGACAGACTTTGTTTGGATGCTGACAGGTATTGGTGCTCCATGCAGTATCACATAGTGAAGCTCCTCACTGAGGCTGCAAATGGTGGTTTCCTTGTGATTACCAAAGTCTATGTCCCACCTCTGTAGTACTCTGTGATATTTTTTTTGAGATTTTCATGATTACAGCTTCAGGGGCTTGCCCCTATGTAGCACTAGGTGGAAGGGGAACAGGTTGTTTGTCTTCCCAGTTCTGTTACACATGACAACAGAGAAATGCTGAAGGTAGCTGTCCAAGGCTTTCTTGCAGATGCTGTTTCAGGGTCTGAGGGTTGTCTTTATAGCAGCAAGCTCTCAGGTTATCCTGACTATGTTGCTGTGGACCCTCAGAAGCAGGGAAAGACCTTGATGGTAAGGCTAACTGCAGAGATCCTTGATGCTGGAAGGCAGCAGCATGGATGAGAATAGGTTCAGGTACTTGGTGAACCCTCTTGCTTGAAGCAGCAGGAGCCATTAGCTGCTGGCCAACATGTGGCCTTGCTGCTTAGATAGCGCTGTCCAAGGGCCAAAGAGTAGACTGGGGTGATAGGGGCCTTACCAAGGTAAGGCAATTGGCAGGAAGGGCATTGCTTCCATTCATTGTGAGGCAGTAATGTATGGCAGTGAGATGTGACTAGCTGCTCAGCTGGAGCTACACTTGGGGACTTGTCAGGGCTGCACGGCTGTTCATGCATTTGTGAAGGGCCTGGCTGCTGGTGTGGTTAGGAGGTCTCTTGCTGGGAGCAGGCTTCTAGCAGCTGAGCAACACAAGGCCTTGCAAGTAGCTGAGTTGTCCATACCTGCAAACTGAAAGGAAGCATGTTGGCCCTGGCACTGTCTGGCTGTGGATGAATTCCATTTCATTGCTGGATACGTATGACCATCATGATCTGTGTGAGCAAGCAGCACATTACATGATACTTGTATGATTGCAGGGCTTGAAACTGGTGACTGGGCGCAAAGCTGATGTCACTGCCCATTGTGGGAAACTGTTGAACCTCAACAAAAAGCATAGGAAGACACTACATGTAGTGTCTAAATACTGAGAGGATCCCAAATCCAATTAGCTTTTACATGCAGCAGAAGGGAATCATCAGTCCTCTGTTCAAGGTTCCTTTCCCGGGTGTTCACATGACATGGCTTAAGCAGGGAACATCTGCCCTCTTCCTCACTGGAACTTTCCTGCAGTTCAGGCTGGCCTACCCTGCAGTCACATCATTTGTGTCACCTGATCTGGGGCTTAAAGTGATGTAAGTGTGTATGGCACAGAGGACTGGAACACAGCTATGGATTCCTATTGGCAGGCAGGGGTAGCGGGACAGTCTCCACTACCCATGGGGCTATTTCATAGGATTGTTTTGCTTTCTGCCTAGCACAGGTGGTAGTCTCTTTTGAGCCTGCTTCCATTAAGAGGACTTTTTTAGCCTGACTATCTGTTCAGCTTAGAGTTGTCCATACTGGTAGATATACGTACAAATTGGGATCCTGGATTTCTCATAGCATCTGCATGGGCACCCACAGCCGCCTTCTAAAAAGAGACTCTGCTGCTTTGTGTGGGCATCTGAGCTATGCCCAGAAAGTAGAGGGGTTTTATATAATTCAGATGAAGTGTTGTAAGAGGCTTTTCAGATACTCAGCAAGTTCCAGGTGTAAATGTAAGTTTTGATTTTGTGTGGGTGGCTTTGCTTTTGTACTTTCTGAGTTTCATAAATGTGCTTGTAGTTGATCTGCTGCTGCATAGCACTTCTGAACATGACTCCTGTTTTGTAAATTTCTGAGATAGGCAGTGCCTGTCCTCACAGCTAGTGCTGTGGGACATGACTCGGAACAGAAGTATGGTCTTTGGTACAATATCCCACAGTTAACAGAGGAACAATGGTTTCATCTATCAGGGACAGCATAAAAGCAGAGGAGACAAATTAGTGTTAAACCTTTTAAGATGCTCCTTAGAAGAGATGTGGATGTGGGAGGTCTCTTTCTGACTCATGGATATGCTCAGATTAAAAGTCAGTGTGATGACACATAAGGCTACTTGGTCTTGATTTCCTGTTGCAACTAGCCTCAGCATCATGCTTGAACTGCTGTCCTACCTTCTCAGAGTCCAGGTGAAGCTGTGAAAATCACCCCTGGTATTTCTGCAGCTCATGGGTTTTATGGCTTGCTCCACTGTTGTCCCTGAATTCCAGAACTGGCCCCTGGGTAGAGATCTTCTGCAAAGCCTGCCTAGTGCATGTGCAGGGTTTGCTCTGGTCAGGAGATGCCTGGTTCAAAGCAACCTGCCATGCTGTGGTGATGTTACCTAGATTTTGAATTCTCTTCTCCAACTCTTGTTCCCTTTTGCTTGCAGTGTATGTAATTATTCCGCAGCTGGTTTTTTTCCCAGGTCTTTGTGACCTACACAGTGCTGTGCCGCCTTCAGTATCAAGAGCTCATTTTGGTGCCTGTATTCCCAAGTGAAATTTACTGCTCTCTGGGGGACCCCAGAAGATCACCTACAAGCATGACATTTGTGTGCTTTCAGTGGGAGAGATCTTCAGAGAAGAGCCTGTTAAACTGTATAACGAACAGCATCCACAAAAAGACCTTGAATGCCTATGTGTTCCTAGATGCTTTTCCTTTGCAAATGGCTTTTTACTGTGTTTTTTTTCTTACAATAATGAGAAAAATTAGTAAAAACTAGAAACCACCTGTTGATCTGTCCTGTTACTGCTGATCAGTTTGCCTTCCTGACAAGGACATTGTGACTACTCATCTTGTGCAGGAGGCTTTCTAGGAGTGTGTGGAATGCATCTTATTTTATGTATAAGTCTTAGAAGCAAATGCAATGTTATTTAGAGACAGAAGAATGATTCTAAGCAATTTTCTTTCAAATTTTAGGTCTGAGAAGAGACTGACTGTCCCACCACGGTTTCAAAAGGAGCTGCAAGTTCACCTGTCCAGAAGCTCTTCCACAGAGTCAAGTGGTATGCTCATTAAGAAATTATTTGTTGACTACTCAGAGTGGGTGTCATCTTAAAAAAAAATCCGTCTTAGTAGTTTAGTTGTTTTGAATGAAGATGGGTGTGCATGAGGAATCAAATTCTGTGAGTGAACCTTTTCACTCTTACTTCATTGTGCTGAGGAAATGTGTGTTTGCTTGTCTGCCTCTCAGTCTTCTAGGAAAAACATTGGGCAGTAAGTGTCAAAGCCAATCAGAAAGCCAGTGTGAGGAGTTTGGAAACAGGAGGAGTAAGCTTAACTTCACTGGCGGGGTAAGAATCTGGTTATAAGGATGAAATCCTGGCTTTCAGGAGTAAGCAGCATTACTAATGTATCTATCCAGCAAATACTCTTCTGCCTGCATGGCTCGACAGTTGTGCAGCTGATGGGCTTGCAAAATGATGGTTGCTTTCTTTGAGACTTGTCAGCCTGATTTGTGAAGCTTCAGGTCTGGTAGCAAATATACCCCATGAAAGAGAGGAGTAGAGATGAGGCAGCAGGTAAGCTAGTGATGTGAATCTCCTCCTGGAATAATGACTGCCTAATTCCTACACACAATGTATGAAACTGCCCAGAGCATCTGAACAGTTGTCACTTTCCTTGCACCACTGGAGGGCTTCCTTGGATGCAGTGGCACAGAAAAGCTGCCTGCTGGGTGGAGATTTTTCCTCAGGACATATCTTGGAATGAAAGGCAAATCATTGGTCTGATTTGTACACCCATCTGAAAATAGAAGAACATTCTTGGTTGTCATGCAGTATCTTTGGTGTATTTGTACTCATAAAAAAATTACTTTGTGCCCCTCTTCGCATGCTGCCTTAGTGCAGTGTCTCAGGTGCTGTGGAGCAGAGGTTTCTGTATCCTCTTCCAGAATCCCTTCAGGAGTAACATGTAGCAACATCTTACAAATATAATTACAGTGATTGAAGATTCATCTTCAGGTAGTTACTAAATGTCTGAGATTTCTGAAGTTCTTTGCCATAGGAAGTGACTGAACTAGCCATGCTGGACAGGAGAGACATATTTTAGAGTTGGTGCTATACTGCCATGTTTAGTTTTTAAGTACAGAGGTAATATCTGTCTTACTTTGTAGAATCTGTCTTAGTTTGTAGGACTGTGTTTACTTCAAGGCTGTATTTTTTGTAACAGATAGTTTGAACGCTGCAGAGACACATACTGTTGCCCCTGGCTCTTCTGCTGCCGATGTCCATGAAGTTCAAAGTCGCATTAAGGAGCTTCTGAGCAAGTACAGCAATGGGGTCAGGATATCAAAGATGCCTCAGATCTATCAGGAAATGTACTGGGAAGACCTTAGCCCAGAAGTGCTCTATCAGCTTGAGAACTGGCCTCATGTGTGCACAGTAAGTATTGAGCCACTTTTATGGAAGATGGCAGTAGCCTATTGATTTCCCAGTGCTCATTTGCCAAATGTTATTTTATGTGTACCTGCATTTCCCTTCATACTCTGTGGCAGTGACAAAAAACCCCACACCCCCACCACTCCACTCCCAAATTTTTGAAACCCTAGAAAATCACTGTTGACTGGACTACTGGTTTGAAGAAGGAAGGTGAGCCTCTGTAGTGTTCTGGAGTGAGTGCCTGGGGTTGATGTCTTGGCATCATTAACTGACCCCATTTATTACAACTCAAATAGCTGATGACATGTGATCTCCATGCCATGTTTGTTGTTCTTGGTTTAGGTTTTTTCCCCCAATTGCTTTTTATACTTTGGTTTGTTGGTGGGTTTACCTCCTCTTAAAGCTACAAGCTACCAACATCCTTTGTGAACAGCCTGAGGTCTAACTGTATTTATCTTTATTCTATAGTTTTCCAGAGGTCTTTCTCACATCTTAAGCCAAGGAGTTTTGCTGTGTAAGTTAGGTTTATGATACAATAAGAGATGAAATTGAAGAGTGGTAATGCTAGGGGGAGAGATTACAGCTTAGCTCCTTTCTGCCCTCCTTCTGATGCCTGTTACCCCTTGATTACCTAGAGTGTCATTGCCTCTCTTATTAGGAACTGGTATCTGGCCGAGTGTCCACTCAGGTCTGACACAGGAGTTGCCATCACCACTGGCTGGAGTGTCTTCAGCTACTGTATTTCTATCCATTCTTCTGCATTCATGGGTCATTTATGGTGTCATGCAACTTTGCATCAAGGCTTCGTTTAACTTTAAAAGGCCAGTGATATCAATGAAGACTTTCAACTTCTTTTGTATCTATCAAAGTGTACCACAGAAGAGTATTGAATATTTGTCTTCTTGAAGTTCCTTTAGTTCCTACTAAGTCTTTTCTCATGTAAAAGCATTAAATGCCCAAAAAAGAAAAAAAAAAAAGAAAAAAAAAAAAACCAGAGAAATTGACCAAATTGAATAACAGCTCTTGAGGAATAACACCTTTGCATGCATGTATGGTATTCTCACAGATATATAAAATGTGTTTGTAACACCTTACTACAAACACTAGAAATGTAAGCAGTCAGAAGCAATTTGTTTTGATGGTTGCTGATTGGTTCCTGTGTTATCTACAGAGCAAGCTGTTATGTCTTGAATTGCTTAATTCATGCAGCAAATTTTAGCCTTTTTTGTAACTAATGTTCCAGTGAGTCCTGTTCATCCAGGATCTTTGTTCTCTATTCATTATCCATTTGCTTGTTATCTGTTGGGTCTATCTCTTTCTTTCTAGCATGCAAATAAAGTCATTTAAGCATAAATAAGCACTGATTAAATCCATGGAAACATTGTAATATAATGGGCATAGTACAACAGCAGTCAGAACTATCAAGTTATTTTGGCACAATCAGTCTTATTGTAGAGAACTGTTAATGAGACTCTAAAGCCTGTCTCAGTTTACTGACTTACAAAACAGTAATTATGGCTTAGGCATGGAGAAGTTTGAACTGGGACTTCTTATATGAAAGCTACTGTACATCTCTTAAATCAGTTTCTGGTTCAAACATATTGTCTGCAGGTGTACAACTCTGTAAAATCTCTGAAATACAGAAGACAGACTGTACTCTCTAGTGGAAGTAAAGATACCTGATACCTGAATTACTTGTCTTGGTTTCTTACTCTGGGAGTGTCTGCCAGACTCAAAAATATGCCTGGTGTTTCTTTTATTATCTTCTTAAAGAAGAACACAGTGGTTTTTGTACTCATTCTACTCAGTGTAGCATAGTTAAAAACCAGCAGGCAGCAAACCTAATACACTTTCAGTGTCTCTAAGCTTTTAATTTGGGGATTGTGCTTTGGAGAGTATCACTTCTGAATAACTTTGCATCTCTAAAACTTCTGTTTGAAGGGAAGGAATTTTATCTAGGAAACTGCAGTTTCAGTGTTTTTGCAACCACAAGTAATGGACATTTTTCCTATTTAGTGAGTTCAAGTCCCCAAATGTCACTCTAAGTTGAAGGTTGCTCATGTTTTCACTCTTCAAGGTTCAGGCAGATTGTATTGAGGCTAACTTTGTGTCCATATTTCTGTTACCTCCCTTTTTTAGATCAGTTTGCTTGAGCATCTTACTTGTAGCAATATATTTTGCACAGCTATATGCAAAAGTACAAAGTTACCAAGTAGTGACTAGCAGTCACAGATTGTAACCCAGCCTTCAGGAGCAATGGGGCTGACGATAAATAGGCTTACAAGTCTTTGTTGTCTAGATAGACCTCAGCTGGGAGAAGAATCTGTTTCAATAGCTCTGGACAGATCAGTAGTGTTGCTGAGTTGTTTGCTTTCACCTCCAGCACTAATGCTTTGAAAAATATGATGACTGGCAGTGACCTTCCCACCTTCACCTTTTTTTATCAGAATTTTTTTCCTTTCTATTTGACTAATTACTTTGCCATGTGTCTCTGAGCAATTAATGATTGCTATTTTAGACTTGCAATTCCTGTCTCATTTGTTACCTTTCTACGTATTTTTGTCGCAAGTCTTTCTCACAACTTAGCTGTTTTCTTAGAATCTGGAGTCAAAGTTGTATAGTTTTACTGTGTTTGAGCTCAGCCTTGAATCCTTGGGGTGCAAGCAGCTGAAACCCTGAGGGAGAGGGAACTTTACAGCAGAGGTGTGAGATGCATGTAGGCATGTAAATTAAAGTGGATTTTGTGGGGGTTTTTTGTGGGTCTTTTTTGTAAAAAGTAATAAGAAATTTATATTTGGTACTGGCAACATGACAAAATGTCATGTTACAGTATGAATATAAACCTCCTTACTGAGTTGTATGTATGTTTAGGGGACTTTTTCCTTGTACATGCTCAGCTCTTCTCAGTTTCTTGAACTTTGTGACTGATTCAGACATGATGTGATGGTGATTCAGAAATGGCAGTGCAAGAGAAGCCTAAACTCTTAGATCTTCTCTCAAAACTTTTGCTTGAATTTCCATGGTTCTTTTCCAAAAGCTTTCAGAGAATTAGGCAACATCCTTGCATGGATGTTTAGTTGGTTTAAAAGCTGGAAATGGAGCAAGCCTGCAATAATTTACTTTCTGAAAGATAGGAAGTTATGGTGGGATTCCTCAGGGGTAACACTTGGACGCATGCTGGTCAGAATTGTAACAAGTGAGTTGGTAAAGGATGCAAATACAAGTTTACCTGGCTAATAATAGAGGGTTGTTCAGAGTTAAAAAGACCAGGGCTCTCTGAAGAGGTATGAAACCTCCTCATGCCATGTTTCTGGCCCATAAAATTTCTTTGTAATCTTAATTACAGCCATGGACAGAAAAGACTCTCAATACATTGAAAAATGTGAATTTTCTTCTGTGTGGACTTTGAAGCTTGGGAAAAAGGGATCTTGGCATTTATAATAGCTTCATGCAAATGTTGACTTGGTACACAAAAAAGTGATAAGTATTTGCAAAATAAATAGAAAAGGCATATTTCATTTGGAAGGAATCTA